CTTTTGTTTCCAAAGTTGTTTCTTTTCTAGTTATCAAACACTGTTAAGCAAGCAAACCCGCTTTGCTAGGAAACAAACAGCGAGGTTCTGTTAAGAAAGATACTTAAGTTCCTGCCTTGTAAAGACTTGCTGAAAGTCCTTCTCTTGTCATTTTAAGCAATTTCTAACATGTGCACATGTTCTTTTCTTTCCACAGATTGTAGAGCTGGCAGACAAAATAGTTCGGAGGGATTTAGCGGTTGTTAAAATAAGTGAAATGTCTTAAAATGCAACACTGAACAAGAACCAGGTGCATTTCTGTTGCCAATCCACTGAGTTCAGTCAAACTAAAATAAATACTATTTTGGCCAACTATAACCTTTGATGCTTACCAGTTTTCTTTATTAAAAAAACCAAAACAAAAAACAATCCTGTATCTCAACTAACTGAATGCTGCACACACAAATGGCAGTATAGCATCCCGGTCACACACATCCCACAGTCATTGTCTTAAGACAGAGTTGTTCCTTCACGGTAGATTCATTCTCTCTCTAGAATAATCATAGAATCATAGAATCATTAAGGTTGGAAAAGACCTCTAAGATCATCGAGTCCAACCGTCAACCCAACACCACCATGCCCACTAAGCCATGTCCCTAAGCGCCTCATCTACACGTCTTTAAATACCTCCAGGGATGGTGGAATCAGCGTATCAGAAGTGTCTTGGTGTGCTATCAGGATACTTAGAATAAACCTCAGATAAAGCATTCATAGACAGTGCAAAAGGAACAGCAGCAGTCATCTTTTCTTCCAATTACTCACCTTCTCTATCAAAACGAGTTTCTGCTCTTTGGCAATACATTTAATTTTTATTTTAGTATCTCTGATTTTATTTTCAGAACACCTCAGAGCCCAGGCTTGTACCAGGATCTGCCAGTGGGTTCCACACAAAGTGATGGTTCCTATCCAAAAGGAGACTTGCATTTTCAGCAGGAGGGAAGTGTTTGTTTTAACAATAGTATCTCTTACTCACTATGCCAAGTAATAATCCTGAAAATTATCACTGAGAAAAAAAAAAAAAACAAAAAAACACCAAAAAAAAAACCCCCAACACCTCAACAAAAGACAAGTCAAACCATTCCCATTTACCTCTTCCCTCTAGTCAGGGGGAAGCTTT